TTGCCGGGGATGGGAATGCTGGACTAGTGTCAGTTCACATTCCCTTCAGAGACAAATCCTTGAGCCCCTTAATTCTTCCTCCAGGGAAGCAGGGCCTGGCAGTGCTGTCTGCTTGTTTACACTGCTGGTGTTAACTGCTTCCTCTCAACTTGCCTCTGCATTGTGTCTCCTCTACATTCAAGTTAAAGCAAACGCTGAGCAGACGGCCCTAGTCATAACATTCAGGCACTTACCTTCACTAGGGACTAATCCCTCCTGGAATCCTTTCCGTCTGGCAACAACTTAGAGTTGTAGAGCCAGTCCTGATGACTGCGGGGCAATTCGCTGCAGTGCAAGACCCTGCCCTTGCATCTTAGCTACTAGGAATTCACCCTTGTGGAGTGCTGAGCATGTTTCTTTTCAGTGACCCCATTGCCATATGAGATCAGACCTTGAAGAAGCCACTGAAGCCTCTTGAATTATTGATGTTGCCACTTAATGAGGTATGTGTGTGTGTGCGGGGGATCCTCCTTTGTTTATCAAAAGCTTTTGGCATGAATACAGGAAAAGAGAAGCCTGAGAAAAGACAGCAAAAAATGTAGGTCCTTGGAACAGGATCACATGCATTCCACAGAGCCCTGGCCCTGGCCTGGTTTGGTGTCTGTGTACAGTGGTCCCTCCCTGCCAGAACTTGCTCAGGGAGTCCTAGTATGTGGAGAAGGGCAGCAGAGGTCTTCAGTGGCAGTGCAGAGGAAAAGGCCTTCCATAGGGTTGACTGTGGCTTCTGTCTGAGCAACCTGGTGGCTTTTGAAGCAGACAGAAGTGCATCCATCCCATCCCAACACGTCTTGATCTGGCATTCACAGAGTGTGTTTGGAAGAGTGATTAAAAGTCTTTTAACTACAAAGCAAGTCCACTCATCTTTGACAAAAGGCACTGCTGGGGACTTCTGTCCCTAAAGAGGTCACCACAGGATACAAAACGGAGAACGAACAGGTCTTCTGTGCAAGGCACACTTAACATGTTGCCATAGAAACCAGTTCCTTAATTCAGGCATACACAATTCTTCCAGCCCCCAGTGAATTCCAGTAATGGGTTTATTATATCACACTTCATTGGTGTCATCTGTCACACAGACACTCACATAAATGAACCAGCCTTTGATTCAAAACTCCCTTCCACTAGCC